TTTTTTTTTTTTTTTTTTTTTTTTTTTTTAAAGGTGAGCATCAGTTTAATGTCACCAAGCAAGAGATAGAAGATCTCAGTTTATACTTTCTATTTTGCCATATCCCACTTAGAGGAAAGTTTCAGATGAGTTTAGAAAGGGAAATTAAGTAACTGGAGGGCAGGGCTTCCTAATTAGCAGTGTAGCCTTGGGCAACTTTCCTGACCACTCAGACCTCAAATGAGGCATTGATAACTTGAGTGGCTTGCATTCGATCATCCCTGCAGGGCCCTTCCAGCTCAGAAGTTCTAAAGCTGCAAAATAGTACTTTTCATGAATGGCCTGTCAAAATTAGCCGCATGATTTTTGCCTGTGTTTTAATGCAGCTATTTAATTTCCGTTCTCTGTCATGACCTTTTAACTAAAAATAAGCTTTTCCTTCATTGAGGGAAGATCATGCATGAGCTGGGAGGAGGAAGAGCAGTCTTGTGTACGCCAAGTCTGTTGCTGACTGTGATTTGAAGGTGCTGGGGATGACTGATTAGATGAGAAGCTGAGAAGCCGTCAAGTTAAAGGCATTCGGTGGGCTTGTGCCTGGAGCCGAGGACCATAACGCTTGTGAAATACTCCATGCAGACCACGCCAGTTTAGGGGTGGTGGCTTGTTTGAGAAGAATATCGGCAGGGGTGTCCGGAGGAGTTAGTGTTTATGTGAAGTAAGCCAGAACCCCTCCTGTGTGACACCCAATGAGATACGTACTAACCTGCCAACTTTTTGAATATATCTAGGTCCCTGAACCAGCTACATAATTTGCAGAGTTCAGTGCAAAGTAAAAATGTGGGTCCCTTGTTAAAAAAACAAAAGATTAAGAATTTCAAGATGAAAGTATGCGTATGGTACATGGCCCTTAGCAATTGCACAGGCCTCTCCCATGGAGCTAGGCTTGCTGTGTGTCACCTCAGGGCTTCAAAATTGATGTGGCTTGCCACGTGTAAAACTTAGTTGTAAGAACAGGTAGAACAGTATAATTCTCTTTTAAGTAATGAGTTTCATGGGCTGAGCAGATGAAAATTCCTTACTGTGGGGAATCACAAAGCTAGATCTTTTCCTCTTTCATCTGTAGCTTCTTCTAGCATGCCTTTTCCCTCAGTGCTCACTTTCCATGAAGAACTAGTTCTGTGATTAAGTATGGGAAACAGGTTAAGCAAGATTAGATAGGATCCTTTTGCCCAGGTGTCCAGATCCTTCCTTAATGGGCTACACGAGCTGCCATGCTGGGGCTGGTGATTTGGATATAAAACCCTTCTTGTGCAGTGTTATCTCCTGGGATTCCAGTGCAGCACATGACTTAAGAAATGCCACCTTAGATTCATCTTGATATTACTGTGAAACCCCGCACCTGCTCAGGCGAGCGCAGTGACTCACTTCTCCCTGCCTCGATGTCCTCAGTACTAAGTGCAGAGCGGGCCTGAGCACCCTGTGCCATGTTACACAGTGAGGTGTGGCTGTAAAGGTAGAGGCTTGCTTGGAGACACAGTAATGTGCTCTGCGTAGAATCCCACAGAGTAAATAGAGCCTGGCCGTCGTTGCTCAGTAGCTGTGCTGGGGAACTCCTGAAAGATCTCCTTTTAAAGGCTTCTGCTGCCTGCTAGGAATGAAGAGGGCCCGGTGACAGTGCAGCTTAGCGCTTCCAGTTCATTCTGTGATTGTGGCTGCTGGTAAAGTGCGGCAGTTTGACTCATTTCTTAGTTTCCAAGTCTGTGCTTCCTTCCCATCTTCCTATCGCTTATTAAGTACCAAGGAATGAGCGGTCACCTGTCCTCTGACAGTTGAGGAATTTGAAACTCAGACAGACAAGTCACTTGCCCAGGAGCATTCTAGGTGTAAATTCTCAGGTGCAGTAGGGTGCGGTAGGTCTGATCCGACCATCCAGGGGCTTTTCTCTCGCCAGTGTGCTACTCTCGTGTCCAGGAGACTCGAAGGGAGGGTCTTCTCCATGCAGAAGTGGAGCCTTCGTGGTGGGTGAGGATGACCCATTCATTCTTGTGTTTTTTCCTTCCTAGGGATGCTGTGAAGAAGTGTTTCGCTGCATGTCTTGCATAACACACTGCCAGTTTTCTAAAGCTCTGAAGGCACCGTGACTGGAAGCTGGTGGTCAGCTTTGTAAATATCCTCTCAACCTCTGTCTTACAGACCTGTGCCTTTTATCTCACACTAGTGTGTTGCAACTTGAGCATTTGAAGGTCGCCTTTCAAGCAACAGTAGGTTCCCAAAACCAGTGTCTAATACCATAGGAGAGGTAGGTTCTGTGTCTTACAGAGCAGAATCTTCCTCTGCCACTGTTTTCCCTTGGGATGCTGAATTCTCCAAAATAAGAGCTTGCTCAACAGCAGGAGCCAGTGGCTCCCAGGTGGAAACAGGCAACTCCATCACAGATTACAGGGGTGCAGCAGTAAAGGACAGAATTTTGGGGTCAATATGGGACTTTGATAATTGTCCCTCAGCATGGAGGCCACCACCGCCCTCCTCAGCATGCTGCTACCCTGGTGTCTGAGAGCAAGGGATTCTGCCCACTCCAGGCTGGGAGGAGCCTGACCAAGTGACGCGTAGAAAATAACACGTCTGGGTGATTTGTGTTCTTTTCTAATGTGGATCTAGGGTCTCCTGCAGTTTGGAAACACACCTGACTGTGGAGTGTGTTTTCTGGTGTAGAGCACAGAAACTTTCTGTTGCCCCATGCCCCACCCATGCACGCACATCTTTGTGACTTCCTGACCCTAGATTGAAAGAGAACAAAGCCACAGAAAACACTGCTCCTTCCTTTCGGACAAGAGCTGAAAGGAGGTGAAAAATCTTGTTGCTCCCTCCTGTACTTTACTCTCTTCATTATTTATAAATATTTGCTTTCAAATGGTATTTTCTATCCTTCCCTGGAGTGGGGCCAGGGCAGAGTGGGTGGGAAGACGGATCACTGGTGTGGGCCAGCAGGAGTGGCTGCCTTTGCCCTTGGCCTTGGAACAGTCCCAGCATTTGACCTCAGGCTGTGAGGACACTCATCTGAAGATGGTCAATCCTACCCTGATGCCTGGCCTCATACACAGTGCTTTTCTGTCCCCAACCTTACCTGGCTGCCACAAGACTCTTCCTCTTGGAAGAGCTGACTTTGGAAGCCGAGACTTACGAGGAAGCAAGGGTTGTCACCTTGCTGTGCAGTCAAGGAAACTAAGGCCTGCGTTTGTCTCCATGTCCACCCAAAGCCACAGCTGGCCAAGTTGAGCCCCGAGCCCGTGGACCACAGTTTAGCCTCCTTTGTGGTTGTTTCTTGGCACATTTCTGGACATGCCAGGTAACCTCTTGTTGCCATCATCCTTGTTTGTGCCTTTTCTGGTTCTTGTCTTTACGTTTGCTTGTGCCATCTCCTACCTGCTCTTGCCTCTACCTCCTTTTTTGGCAGCTGCCTCCTGGGTTTGCAGAGGGTTCATTATTCTCGTGTTCCTTTTTAGCTGCTCCACTGAGGTGAGTTTTTTGCAGATGGGCACAACTTGCAGCTGCATGGAAACACTGGTGGTTGAGCTCCTTGCCCTGGGCCTTGTTCTGTGAGCTTGGCATTGGGAGGGTCCCTGCCCTCCAGATGGGTTCCTGCAGCCTCTCTGCCTTTGCCACATTCCAATCTTGCTTGCTGGCTGCCTGCCAGATTAGGAACTAACTCACTGATTCTCATCTGCCTCACATCTGCCTCACTAGCTGAAAGGCTTCTCCTTTTGCAGAATGAGCTCAGGAGGAGCCTTTGCTTTTCCTGCTTCTCCGTGTAGCTTGACCCAGCTCAAGGTGTCTCGTTTCTGGGAAGGGTGAAACACGGCCCCAGGTTTAGCATTTTCCTGGTGTGGTGATCTCAGTGCTGGAACATCTGATCATCACCCTTGTATGGTGACTTTGGGCAGTATCTGCCTGACTGCCACTTCCCTTTCACCTAATCACTATATGCTGAGAGAACAAGAAATAAAACCATGAAATGCATTCCCAATGAAATTATTTTTGATACTGTCCTTAGAATAATAAGTGGAACATACCTTTAAAAAGTGTGGAAAATTTGGCTTCTGCTTCTGCAACCTCAGTGATGAGAAATAGTGAACTGGAAAATTGAAGCACCACACTGTGTCTAGACTTCGTATCCTACGGGGCAGCAGACACCAGGCCTTCTTTACCTTCTCCTTTGTCAGATAACTTCTGACTGGAGTCAGCTGCAGAATTGTGAATACTATAAAATTCAAAGCCTCGCTTAAAATGTTGATAAAGTTAAAGGTGTTTAAAGGAGAAAGTTAAAGGTGTTTAAAGGTATTTGAAGCCATTTGCTAGAACTTTTGGCATACTTTCTAACATTTAAACATCCAGGATGGATGTTTTTGGTACATTTAACATGTAGTAATTTACAGATAACATTTTAAAAAAATGAATAGAACTTCAGTGGAAATTAAATGCAGATTATGTCTATGTAACTCCTGATATTTAAAAAAAAAAAAACAACCCACCAGAAGTCTAAATTGTTTGGAAATGTTTATTAAAAATAACAGGTGGTCTTAAAGTATCTCCAGACTCACACTTTTGTGAAGTTCTGAGATCTTGTGTGTTTTCAGTCTGGTGAAGAAGAGAGTGGTGCGTACTTGATCCCAGGTCGCTCAACACAGTACTTGGTTCCACTTTGGTCATTTCCAGTTCTGCCCTGGATGCATAGGTGACACTCAACACCTGATACTCAAGCTTTGCTCTTGGCTCCTTAGGTTTCTGCTGCCGTGAGGTGGATGGGGCGTAGCGGAGCCTTTGTTAATGCAAACTGACAAAATTAAATCACACCCTTGCCAGCAGGAGTTGGTAATTAATTGACACTAGACTTAGAAATATACGAAATTATTTTCTAGCAACTTCCAGTTTTTGTCTTTGGTGCTAGAGATGGAACCCAGGGCCTTGTGCATGCTAGGCAAGCGCTTAACCACTGAGCCACACCCCCAGCCCCTGAAAATGGTTTTCTGTAGATAGGCTGGTCTGTAACAAGGGAAAAACCAGTCTAGTAGACAGGGAAAACGTTGCTAGTTGGAGTAGAAGTTCGTCCCACAGCATTGTAAGCAATAATGATGCATATATTCACAATAAAGTAATGCTGCTACGTTAATGAACAGCGGGCCGAAAAGCAAAGCAACAAGAAAAGGACACACTGTCGAATCTTTGTGAAGCATCCTTTGAGATAAAAAGGAGGTTGGAATTGGGGCGAGTGTTGTGCCTGCAGAAGGTCCCTGCTACAGCAGGAAGTTAGCCTGGGCGAAGTGCAAATGAACTTTTTGTTTGCGTAGTGTCCTAAAGAGCTATAGTTTACATTCAGTTTTGTGGTCTTTCTGCTATGAAAAGTGTTCATTTTATCTTTTTTCCCCAATATATTGCTTGACGTAACAATCTGGAACAAGAAAAGGAAAAAGATAACCCTCTGAATTTTGATCTTATTAAAAGCCTACGGTGAATTTGTACATGGTGCCTATTGAATATGATGAGCTTTTAAAACACTTCGTTAAAATATGAGTCAATTTTTATAATTGTGTACATACAACTAATTTTGAGCACTACTGATTGCATAATACAATTTTTGTATCACAAAATATATTCTTGAGTACTGTTTGTCCTACCTTGCGAATCTCTTTCATAAATTGTTTTCTTTTTACTTATTTCAAAGAGAATGTTGCTGATAATTAAGCTGTCTCTCCCCTCTCTCCTATCACAATTATTATTTTGTGCTTTTTTCTCCTCTAATAAATGATAGTATAATAATCTTTAATAAATCTACTGTTGTCTCTTATTCATATGTGTTTTTTCTGGGAATCAGTAAGCGAGACAAAGACTGTACAATTAAAAGAAAAGAACATGTTTTTAATCTGAATTCTTAGTGTGTAACCCACATTGTAGTCATTTAAGATTTTTCCCCTCTAAATTGCTATGTAGTTCTCTTTTTCAAGGGAGTTGGGGTTGGACATGGGTCTAAAGACAAAGTAAGAAATTTACTTGTTTATTTTAGAATATTCCTGAAAACCTAGCTGGTTTGGTTATTATGTATAAACTAGGTTGTCAAGTTAGTTGGCACCAAGTTTATAATATTTCCTTATACATTTAATATCTGAGATTTTTACTTATTTCTTTTTTTTCGTTGCTATTATTTGTGCTAAAAGAAAAACAGACTAGTTCAGTAATAAAATTTACTTGAGGAAGAAAAAGACTGTAGAACTGGGCAGCATCCCAGCTCAAAGATGTACCCCAGGTACTGTGGATGTACCATTCCAGCCCAAAGAAAGTGACACACAGAATCAGCTTGATTGCCTGTAGTACCTATTTGCCTAATACAAATATGGTCTGACCACTGGGCAGCCTGTGATTGGCTTACACTCAGTTGCTTGGTTATAAGGATGCTCATAGGTTACAATTTGTTACACATTAAGTTAGGGTGTAGTTCGTTACACATGGAGACTACTTTGGGCCAAACTTATTGGTCAAGTACAGAAGCTGGTTTAGGCTAATCCAATTCAACATTGGTAATTTAAGTCATGTCTCTTTTATGCCTTGACCAGTGTAACTAGAGGTTTATCTTTTTTTTTTTTAATTGATCTTTTCAAACATAATTAATATTATTAAGATTTGAACATGCATTTAACAAAGGAAGATATGTGATTGGTCAGAAAAATTCCTCATTAATACATGAAGATTAAAGAAAGTGGAAGAACTCAGTTTTGGAGATGAATTCTTAGTTGACAAAATTGTAATGAAAAGCAATAAGGTTATTTGCATAAAGGTTAGGATAGTGAATATACTGGGAGGAACAGATTGGTAGTTACCTTTTTTTTTTTTTTTTTTTTAAGACAGGGTCTTCTTGTGCAGTTCAGGCTGGCCTTGAGCTCACTTTGTAGCCCAGGCTGGTCTCAAACTTGCAACGATCCTCCTGCCTTAGCCTCCCAGGTGCTGGCATTGCAGTCATGCACCACCATGCCTGGCAGTTACATGATATTTGATATCATATATTTGTTTTTCTGTGTACTTTTAATGTGTTTTACAATAAAAGCAAATTTCATGACTTTATTAGTGGTTATTTGAGTCTTTAAAGCTTTGTTATTTTCTTCCTTATACTTTTACTCATTAGCTATTTATTTTTTTTTTATTTTTTTATTTTTTTGGTTTTTCTCCGGTACCGGGAACTGAACTCACGACCTTGCGCTTGCCAGGCAGGCGCTTTGCTGCTGAGCTAAATCCCCAGCCCCTCATTAGCTATTTAAGGTGGAAACTTAACAGTGGGTATGAGGCGTGTTTTCTTTGGTGGCGTGTGCTGTAACTCCAGCACTCGAGGCTGAACTGGAGGATCACCTAAGCTCAGAACTTCGAAGCTTGCCCCATCTCAGAAAACACACAGAACTTACATAGTTTAAGTATAACTTATCTGTGACAGTTTAAGCGTTGTGTTAGCTGAATGTTGTGAATTTTGAGAGGATTTGTTTTCATTTTAATTCAGTTAAAAATGTTGTCTTATTTTCCTGTAATATTGTTGACCTATTGATTGTTTACAATTGTATTTAATTGCTAAACATTTGGGGGATTGTTCCAGATATCTGTTGATTCTAGTTTAATTTCATTATAGTCAGAGCAGATATCCCACATGATATTAGTCCTTTTAAATTTGATGGGCCTTGTTTTATGGCCTGGCTAAGACAGCATCTTAGTCTATTTTGGTGTGCTTTAAAGGAAAGTGAATTTTGCATCTGTTGGGTAGAGTATAAGTATTAGTTCACTCAAACAGGTTGGTAATGTTGATGTTCTAACTTGACTGATTTTCAGCCTAATTTATCAGGTGTTGAGAGAGATAAGTTATAAATTTATGTATATTTAAAATAATTTACATTTAAATATTTCCTTTACCATTCTTTCAGCTCTATCTTCATGTATTTTGTATCTCTCTTGGTTTATTGTGGCACTCTGAAAAACTGGGATTGATTCTACCCAAAATGTGGTTTGAGGGCTGGGGGTATAGCTCAGCAGTGCAGTGCTTGCCTGGGCAAGCATGAGGTCCTGAAGTCAATTCCTGGTACCAAAAAAAAGAGTGGTTTGATGTCGAGACTGATGACACCACACACATACTAGGAGGCTGTGAGAAGTTTATTAGTATATTACTTCTGGGAATGGAGGGAAATCTCAAGCAGGTTCAAAGCTGGCTTTAGAGAGCAAGAAAAGGGTGAGAGGCTCTGAATGTGGGGGCTGGCCTGGTGTAGGTCTCGTGCTGGCTCTAATGGAGCAGGCGTCCAGGCTTCCTTATCCCTTGGTTCAGTGTGCAGAAGGCAGGGAGAGATGAGGCGTAAAAGCTGTCAGTTGTGTCAGTCAGCTCTCTTTCACTGTAATGAAATGTCTGAGATAATCAACATAGAGAAGATTTATTCTGTCTCAGTTTTGGAGGCTGCAGTCCACGATCACTTGGCTGTGTTGTGCTGGGCCTGTAGCAAGGCAGCACATCATAATGGGAGCATGTGGCAGAACCTAACTGCTGATCTCATGGGTGTGAGATTATTAATGCATAGAGATCATCACTTTGTCTAAAGTAAGTCATGGTAACTTACTAATAAAATAGTAAACAAACCAACATTTTAAATAATTATGAATTACTTCTTTTGTTAGCATCTTTCAACAGTATACAAAAATAATGCTACAAGACTGCACCTAACTTGTCTCCTCCGATTGCAAAGTCCTGGGCCTTGGAATGAGAATGGGCATCAGTCTACTGTAGATGTCCCCTGCAAAGGGCAGACGCATGTGGCTGCCAGTGACACTGGGCAGTTGAGATAAAATACGGCAGGCTCTGATCCAGGACCTAAATTCTTTGCACACCAGGGAAACTGGCTAACTTGTGCTTGTATTCTGTCCCTGTGGGTTTGCCCATTCTGTGTTTTTTTTTTTTTTTGTCTGTTGTCTTTTTGAGACAGGGTCTCAATATGCAGTTGAAGCTGGCCTTGAGCTCACTTTGTAGCCCAGGCAGGTTTTGAACTTGAAACCATCCCCCTGCCTCAGCCTCCCGAGTATTGGGATTACAGGCGTGCACCACCATGCCTGGCTAGGCATTTCTTACTCAAGGTGACAACACAATTAACTGTCACAAGGTGAATTTCTCATAGGCAGTATTTCGTTAAGTCCTGCCTTAAAAATTAAAGTGGACTGGAGATGCAGCTCTGTGGGAAATCCCTGGGTTCAAATAAAAAAAAATTCCACATAGAGCTCAGATCATGCCATTTTTACCTTTGTGTGCCTAGCTTATTTTATTTAGTATAATGTCTACCAGGTTTATCCCTGTTGTCACAAGTGACAAAATTGTCTTAAGGAGAAATAGCATTCCATTCCTTGTGTATACATCACACTTGATCCATTCATTTGGTGATGGACACTTAAGTACATGACACATCTTGGCTGTTATTGATAATACTGCAGTGACCATAGAAGTACAGCTATCTCTTCAGCATTGTGATTTCATTTCTCTTGGGTATTGTGTTAGCTTTCCATCATTGTGACAAAATGCCTGAAAAAAGCAAAGTAAGGAAGGCTTATTTTACCTCACAATTTCAGAGGTTTCAGTGCATGGCCTGCTGGCTCCGTTACTCTGGGCCTGATGTGAGTCAGAATATCATGGTGGGAGCTAGTGGAGAAGGAGGCTGCTCATCTCCTGGTAGCCAGCAGGCAGACAGAAAGGGGGCTGAGGATAAGTCCCCAAGGTCAAGCACTCAGGCTCACTTCCTTTATGCCCTGCCTCCTAGGTTTCCGCCATCTCCCAATAGTGCCACCAGGGGGGGACCACGTTTTCAACACATGAGCTTTTGAGAGACGTCCAAATCCGGGGTAGCAAGTAGTACCCAGAAATGAGACTGCAACAACACATAGTAATTCTACTTGGTTTCTACCCTCAAGATACATCATGATTATACAAATATTCAAAAGTTGAAAAATACCTGAAATCCAAACAGTACTGGTCCCAAGCATTTTGGGTAAGGTATACTCAGCTTGGAATAATTTATTTTCCCACTGAAGGTGTAAAAAGGCCTCTCTTCCACACTTCTGCCTATAATTTTCTTTCCTATCATATTCATTCTACCAGCCGTAAGGTTATATCTCACTGTGATTTCAGTTTCTGTTTTCCGGATGATTATAGAGAGGGTGAACCTTTTGATAACCCTCTTGGGCTGGGCTTAGTGGCGCACACCTGTAATTCCAGCACTTGTGAGGCTGAGGCAGGAGGATCATTGCGAGTTTGAGACCAGCCTGGGCTACAAAGTGAGCTCAAGGCCGGCCTGACCTGTGTAGCGAGACCCTGTCTCAAAAAGACAACAAAACAAAACAAAACATAACCTTCTTAGCCACTTACATGTTTTCTTTTGAAAATTGCCAGTTCAAGTTCTCTTTACATTTTTCCATCAGGTAGTTTGTGTCTATGAATTATATGAACTCCTTACATATTTCTGGTTTTGATCTCTTGTCAGAGGTTTTTTGATAAATTTGTCCTTTTTTTTTTTTTTTGCCTGTGCTTTTGGGTCCTACCCAAAAAGCCACTGCCCAGTTCATGACTTTCCCCCTGTGTTTTCTTCTAGTAGTTTCATAGTTTTAAGTTGTACATTTAAGTCTTCAACTCTTTGAGTTGGTTTGGAATATGATGTGAGGTAACAGTCTAGTTTCATTCTTCTGCATGTAGTTATCCAGTTTTCCCAGCATCACTTATTGAAAATAATGTCCTCTTCCCATTGTGTGTGCTTGGCACTTCTATTGAAAA